CAAATTAATTACACTAAAGCATGATTATGAGGCCTCGGTGAACTCAATTCCCTAGTCTCCTTTACTTGTTAATTCAATTTTTAAATTTGATTTAATTTCATTTAAATTTTATGCTAAGTGACAAACAAACAAACAACTCTTCAAACCATCTTTTGTGACATTAACAAGCTTAGAATTAGTCTTTGAAATCTGATTGCCATAAGTTTTGCAATCTTCGTGGATCGATACCCTTACTTAGCCACTTTCTATGTAAATTTGTGCTAGTCGGTGGTTTTATAATTGACGCAGCTTTGCGCGACACATCACTTGTCTAGTCTAATTCTATAATTGACTACTGGCCTAAAGACAAGTTTTCAGTCACGAAAAGGGTACTGACAATTCCATAATACACTATGAGAGGTTAGTAAAAACTTCAACATGATAAAGAAGACATGATGGCAAAGTCTTGTATTGCATAATACTCAACAAAATAAATTTTCAGCAATGGCACAAACCATTTCAATTTTCTTCGCACTCCAAGGACCTAGCATAAGATAACCATATCAATTATTTAAAGGACTTAAATATTCAGAATATCACTTTTCATAATCACTAAATATAGAAAAATCAAAGAGCTTCATTGTGACCAACCATAGGAGAATCCATAAATTGGTAATGTTAACACTAAAGGAGATATTAAGTCTCAAAGAGCGAAAGTATTGAGGATTGCCATTGATTTTCAATGGGGTATATTGAAAATGAATATAATGCTGATCATTAGAGAATCATATATCGATTTGACTCCAAAATCAAAGAGGACAAAACAATTAATGAACTCAACAACTTGGTTTGGATTTCTCTCTAATTAGAATCGAAGCTCCCGATTGAAAATTGAAATGATGCTCTCGATTGAAAATTTCTAAACTAGATATCGACCATGACTACACCTAGACCAAATCATACGTGGCCTAACAACACACCATTCACATATTGATATCATTAAAACCAGTTCACCTTATATATATATATATATATATATATATATGCATATGCATATATAAAGAGAGAGAACGGCCAGTAGAAAGTGATGAAACTCTTATATTCCTACAATATTAACATTGATGAGTCAATTTGAGATTGATATTAGTTAAAGAGAAATAAGATGAGATATTTAAAAGTTTGAAATTAAATTAATGATAACGATGATAACACTGAGTTAATAAGGTAATTCAAATTAAAAGTACCAGGAGAATATCTTCGAATCCCCAACAGATTGCAACAGACCAGGAGAATCGTCATATATAAATATGAAGCTTGACTACTAAACATGTATAATAAAAATGACATATTATATACCTGCCTTTATTTTAGACCCCCGGTGACTGACTGACTTGATTGTTGGAGAACTCTAGGCAGGCACCACACCGATGCCGTCAAGATTTATCAATCTTCTTCTCTTTTCTTTATAGGAAAACGGTGTCGTTCCGGGTCATGTTGATTTCCGCTTCAACAGCTGGCGCCGTCTGTGGGAACAATTAGTTTCATGAAGAAATATGGTCATGGCTCAGATGCACTGTTCCAAATCTATAGGGAATCGTCCCGAAAACAACTGACGTCCCACATGATCATGAATTCAATGTCGTTCCTGATACTACAATGCTATCAATTCCCAAAACCCATATCATCCATCGACCGATCCATTAATTGGGGTAAGTGTTAGTTTTCTGTTGGATATTTGATATTGAATCAACAAGTTGATGTGACCAACAGACGACACAACGTGAAGTCAAAAACGCCGCAACCCGAGCAAACAGCTCGAAAACTAACATCAAGACATATTGATTCGAGATGGGAGCAAATTACAACTTCAGAGCAGCACACGCAGCTAAAAAAAAAACTCTAATTTGAAGCCTCTAAGGTATGTTTCAAATTGTGTATATTTATCTAAAAAAAAATTATATATGTGTGACAAATTGCAAATTGTTTTGTTCTCATGATATTACTAAAAAATATCATAGCACTTGTATATCACTTAGTCCATGAGAGCACGTGTGTTGTGTTTTACGTGGAATCACAATTAAACTATACAAAAATTTCTTTTACTATCCCTTTACACCACAGTAGTACGCCACGTAACGTGGTTCACTAAAAACTCTTAAAAAAAGAGTATATATATATATATATATATATTAAAAAGTTAGTGAGAAATTGCATATAAAATGTCAAAATCATGTAGATTGAGTTGTTTCTACTCATTTATTTGTGTATTTATCGTGCTGTTTTATCTGTCCTTCCAAATGTTAGCACGTGATATATATATATATATTAAAAAGTTAGTGAGAAATTGCATATAAAATGTCAAAATCATGTAGATTGAGTTGTTTCTACTCATTTATTTGTGTATTTATCGTGCTGTTTTATCTGTCCTTCCAAATGTTAGCACGTGATATATAACTAGCATATTTTGGAAGGTGAGCTACAATGCTAGTCTAAAAAAAAATATAAAATAAATGTTGTATGCTATCATAACTTTGATTTTATTGTTCGTTGTTTAACAATAAAGACCCAATAACAATCAGTATACCATGCATATAAACTTACGCCGTGTAGATGTAAGTGGGTGATTGAATTTTAGGGTAGGTTTCCAACCCATGATGGAATAAAAGAATGCTCGATTATTGATAAAAAAAAAAAAATGAGTATGGAATGACCCCAATTCTAGGAAAGCTAAATTTCGAGTTGAAAATCAATATCTACATTTCAAAACTACTTCTGATAGATTAAAGAACATAAATAAAAATAAATAAATAATAATTACCGTGCATTTTGTTGCATTATTATTTGATACTTGTTGTATTTGACATTTTAAGTCCGACGCTCTCTTCAAAATGATTGGGGGCAATATACTTTTGCAAAAAGGATTGCAATCTCCCTTATCATGAAGGTCAAAAATATTTATTACCTTATCGAAGGGTGAGCTTACAAAGCTTAGACAAAGCAATTCCTTTATTAAAGGGCGAATTGAGTGAGCTCGTAAAATTTATTCCCTTATTAAAGGGCGAGTTGAGTGAAGCTTGTAAAATTTATTCCCTTATTAAAGGGCAAGCTGTGTGAAACTCGTAAAATCTATTCCTTATTAAAGGGCGAGCTGAGTGAAACTCGTAAAAATTTATTCCCTTATTAAAGGGCGAGCTGAGTGAAACTCGTAAAATCTATCTCTAATTAAAGGGCAAGCAAACTGAGTGAAGTTCGTAAAATTTATCCCTCATTAAAGGACAAGCTGAGCGAAACTCATAAATTTATTTCCTTATCAAAGAACGAGCTGAGTGAAGCTCATAAAATCTTTCTCTTATTTAAGGATGAAAATAGTGGCCAACGCATGTTTTTGTGAGCCCGTAAATACATGACAATTTACAATATGCTCAGTTGATAAAAAAAAATAAAAGAGCTACCTTCCAAAATAAGGGAAAAATAACTTTTGACATTACTTGACAAGCTAGCACGAGAATGGGGACAACTGATGAGTTAATTTGAGATAGATATTAGTTAAAGAGAGATAATATAAGATATCCAAAAGTTTGAAATTAAATTAAAGATAACGCTGATAACACTGAGTTAATAAGGTGATTCAAATTCAAAGTACGGGAGAATATCTTCGAATCTCCAACAGATTGCAATAGACCAGGAGAATCGCCATATATAAATACGAAGCCTGACTATTAAACAGGTATGATAAAAACGACATATTAAATCACTACCTTTATTTTAGATCTCCAGTTAATCGTCGAAAAGTTCTTGGCAGGCACCACATCAGTGCCGTCAAGATTCATAAATCTTCTTCTCTCTTCTTTGCAGGAAAATGTACGATATCGTCCCGGGTCGTGCTTATTTTCGCTTCAACAAACATCAATGCCTACTTAGAGCATGAAATCCAATAAAAACAAAGCAATTAATACTGGTGTAATTTACCTGCAATAATGATCATTAATGAATGAGAAACAAAGCAATACTGATCGTTGGCGAATCAAATATCGATTTATGAATTTTTCTCTTTGAAATTAGAATCGAAGCTAAGCTCTGGGAGTGATAGTGACGAGCCAGAAATGAATCGAAGCTATCAATTGAAAATGGAGCGAAAAACCTAGTGTTCGCAGTCTGATTTAGGAGAAATAGTGATGAGCGAAGAAGTGAGGAGCGAGAGTAGAGAGAGAAGATTGAGGAACTGGAGTGGAGAGAGAAAGTGAGGAACCGAGTTGTTGAATCTAACTACAGGGCATTTATTAAAAATGAAAAATGAAAAATAAATAATAAATAATAAAAATAAAAAATGGGCCCGTGTTACAAACATAAAAATAGTAGCATTTTTTTTGAATTGCTGTTAAAATTTTGCCACCACATCAATATTTTGTTGTAGTGTTATTGTAGCTAATGATAAAAATAAAAATGCCTTCAAACATATCAACAGCAGCATTTTTTTTTTTTTAAATTGATGTTAAAATTTTGCCGCCACATCAATATTTTGTAGCAGTATAATGGATGGTGGGATGTTTGGGCTTGCATGTGACACGTTTTCTCACGAAGTCATTTTGACTGCGAGTAATGTCTAAACCCATCATTTTCTAAATTTACGTAATTACTATCATATATGCCATAAATAGTAATGAGAGTTGTCCAAGTCGTTCAAATTAGTATAATAATATTTGTTGTGATTAGAAGTCATATATAGGAGGGAGGTAGTTTTGGTGTCCTCCTAAGGTTTCATCGTCATCGTCGTGGTGGTCGGTCTCTTACTTTTTACCCTTTAATGGGTTAATTGAAGGGGGAAAGAAAGTAAGCCCAGGAGGGAAGGAAGGATTAATTAGTTAATTAATCTTTCTATTCCATTAATTGGCAATTAAGTGTGATCCAGGTAGGTATCTTAATTAATTAATTAATTAATTGTCCGTACGTACTGCAGATCTCTGGCCACCACCGGGGACGACGACAAGGTAGCTAGAATGGCGACGAAAAGTCCAGCAGGTCCCCCGGGAGCACCGGTTTGCCCGGCACCAATGAAGGCAACATCAAATGGAATGTTCCAGGGTGAAAGTCCTTTTGATTTTGCCGTTCCCCTCGCAATCTTCCAGATATGTCTGGTTATTGCTTTTACAAGATCCCTGGCTTTCATTCTCAAGCCCATGAGACAACCAAGAGTTATTGCAGAGATCATTGTACGTAATTAATTAATTACTCAATATTTATTTACTACTATCCATCAATCATATATACCAATTTTGAAAGAAATTATTACTATTATTTATATGAATCATCTTTTTTCGATTCCAACAATTAGGTAGTTGCACCTACGTATTAATCCTGAAGCTGGCCTCACCATGGAGAATGTGAACATTGAAATGACTCTCATGCATGCATATACATATATACACGCACGTACTTATTATAATTGAAAGTGCATATATGTTACATGGACGTGGGTCGGTCGAGAGGATTTATATGGTTTATGTATATGAAACATTATTAATTAATGGATATATATATATATATATGCAGGGAGGAATACTACTGGGGCCATCTGCTTTTGGGCGAAATCACAAATTTCTGGACAAGGTTTTCCCGAAGAAGAGCTTGACAGTTCTGGACACACTTGCTAACATTGGGCTTATCTTCTTCATGTTTCTTGTGGGTCTTGAGCTGGACATGCGTGCCATTCGTCGAGTAGGCAAGAAGGCCCTAGCAATATCCATAGCTGGTATCACCCTCCCTTTTGTCATTGGCATCGCTACATCATTTGTTCTAAGCTCCACCATATCCAAAGGAGTTGATCATCTCACTTTCCTTGTCTTCATTGGTGTCTCATTATCAATCACCGCATTCCCGGTCCTGGGTCGTATCCTCACCGAGTTAAAGCTTCTCACTACCGACGTGGGCCGCATGGCCATGTCCGCAGCTGCTGTTGATGATGTCACTGCCTGGATACTCCTCGCACTTGCCATAGCTCTCTCCGGAAAAACCTCTTCTCCACTTATTTCTGTATGGATCTTACTCTGTGGGATTGCGTTTGTGGTGGGTGCTTTCCTGTTGATAAAACCCGCACTGGCACTCATGGCTCGACGCTCCGCCGAGAATAATGATGAGCCAGTCAAAGAGCTCTACATATGTATCACATTGGCCCTGGTATTGGCTGCAGGTTTCATCACAGACCTCATTGGGATACATGCCATTTTTGGGGCTTTTGTGATTGGCATATTGGTACCCAAGGATGGTCCCTTCGCAGGGGTTTTGATAGAAAAGATTGAGGACCTTGTGTCCAGCCTTTTTCTACCGCTATACTTTGTGTCTAGTGGCCTCAAATTGAATATTGGAACCATAAATGGAGCTCGATCATGGGGACTGGTTGCACTTGTCATATTTAATGCTTGTTTTGGAAAGATTGTTGGGGTTGTTGGGGTATCTCTACTCTTTAAGACGCCTTTCAGAGAGTCTTTGACACTTGGATTCCTCATGAACACTAAGGGTTTGGTTGAACTTATCGTTCTCAATATCGGCAAGGACAGAAAAGTAGGTATTTTATTTATTTATTTATTTATTTTTACTCTCTCATCCTAGCTAAAATTCAATTAAAACTTTTGACCTACAAATTAAGTCGTTTATATTATTTTTCTTGTATTAATATTACTTACATTTGTATCTTTTTCCGGACATCTCAGGGCATATGTTTATTAAAAAGTCAACTTTTAAATTAAGTTTTTTTTTGTGTGCGCGCAACATGTGAGAATGTACTTGTGGAAAAGAAGGGTTAGTTGAAAATTTGTAAATTGGACCATATATGCACACACACATATATATGTGTGTGCATGTGTTTGTATAACTATATTGGGTGCTTATGTATCGTGTTTGGTTAACCGGCCATTTGGCTTCTTTAACTCCACTTACTGTAGGTGTTGAATGACGAAGCTTTTGCCATATTAGTTCTCATGGCCTTATTCACAACTTTCATCACTACCCCGATTGTGATGGCTATTTATAAGCCCGCGAGAAAGGCCGCACCCTACAAGCACAGGACGGTTGAACGAAAAGACATTGACACAGAGCTTCGCATCCTTACCTGCTTCTATGGCACCGAAAACATCCCTGCCATTGTCAATCTCATTGAGTCATCCCGAGGGACTCGACGTCAAGGATGCCTATCCGTATATGCCATGCACCTAAAGGAACTCTCTGAACGATATTGTTCAGCCATCTCCATGGTCCATAAACCGCCCAAAAATACAATCCCCTTCCTGAACAAGAAATGTGACAATAAAGAACATATGGTTATCACATTTGAGGAATATCAGCAGCTCAGCAGGGTCACTCTGCGCCCGATGACTGCCATCTCGGCTCTTGATGACATCCATGAAAACATCTGCACCAGCGCCAAGGAAAAGCGTGCTGCCATGATCATACTCCCATTCCACAAGCACCAGCGGCTAGACGGTGTGATGGAGTCACTCGGACACTCGATTCATGTGGTAAACCAGCAAGTCCTCTGTCATTCACCTTGCTCGGTGGGAATACTTGTCAATCGCGGCCTTGGTGGCACCACTCAAGTCTCTGCCAAGGACGTGTCCTACACCATAGCGGTGCCATTTTTTGGTGGACGTGATGATCGTGAGGCGCTCGCTTACGGTTTCAGAATGGCTGAGCATCCCGGGATCAAGCTCACCGTCTTAAAGTTGGTGAGTACTCAAGGGAAGGAAAAAGATGGTGACAACGACAATGACAGTGACGAGGCCTTCATCTCCGAGTGTACAGCAAGAAATAAGAACGAGTCGACATCTATTGAGGAAAAACAAGTGGGAAGTAATGCGGATATAATTGATGCATTGACGTCAATTAACAAGTGTAATCTGATTTTAGTGGGAAGAGTGCCTAGGAATGTGCCGGAGTTAGGAGAGACAAGCAGCGATTGTCCAGAACTAGGGCCTGTGGGAAGCTTCTTAGCGTCCTCTGAATACTCCAACACTGCATCTGTGTTGGTGGTTCAACAGTATCATCCCAACTCAAACCGACAGTGTCTGGTAGAAGAAGCTTAGACAGCTGGATAGTCCCACCGGCAACACTGCGTCATCAAGATTTGTACTTGTTTTATGGTAAAACTGAAATTAATTGGTTACATCTTGTAGTTGTTAATATTACTTTTCTTAACATCACCAATTCACCATCTATACTTGTGAGAAAATGAAGTTAATCAAAATGTTGGTGTGGGTATGCACAAAAAGTGATACATCTATGCAAAAAAAATGGTACCTAGAAATAGCACGGGTATATATTTTGGGTAGATGAATATTGTTTTTTCGGATAATTTACACAAACCTCCCCTATAGTTTGTCATAATTACACGGACCTTCCCTCTAGTTTGGGAATTTACTCGAATCTCCCCTAAGAATAAAAATATCCTACACATACCTCCCTTCTATTAGAGTCAATGACGGAAATTGCTAACGTCATGTACAAATTTTACTAAAATTTTCATCATACCCTTATCCCTACCAATTGATATATATATATATATATATATATATATCCTGATCATCACCAAACCATTAAAGTCCCAGAGCACGACGAACTCGAGGCAACAAGAAAGAAGTTCAAGCGTGCCACGGTCAGTGTAGGTGTAATTTCTCACACCCGAACACTTAAAAGAAATAGGTCAAAAAAAGGTATATGAAATTTGGAGAAGACAATAGACAATTTTTACAAGAGAGAAACAATGATGGGAATTAGATGTCTTTCCTTTCTCATTCATGATCTATTTATAAACTTTGTACAGAGAATTACATGGAGTCGTTACTAGCAGTTTTTCTGGATGTGGGTGTTTATGCTCACTAATATTGCGCCCCTTTCTTTTATGGTGGGCGTTATGGAGTTATGGGCTAACCGTGATCGGGCTGACCCTTGATCCGTCTTATGTCAAGTGGAGCTTCCTTTGTTAATCGGGCCGACTTGACATGTTTGTGGACTTTTTGTTATTGGGCTCCCAATTGCTAATGGGCTTCTGGGTGGTTTCAGTTAGCAATGGACTGTACTTTTATTGCCACATGGTATGTTGTGGTTGGTGTGGAATTTTTCCTCTACACTTTACCCCCAATTCCTTTTGTGAATTGAATTCATATATGGAATTGTAACTATTTTTAGGAAGTGGAGAAGTTTTTGCGGCTGTTACTGCTTATCATTACCATTTGTGCTCCCGATTTTTGGGGTCTCGTGCTTGCCTTTTCATTATCTGCTTTATCTTGTCTATATATGCTATGTCCTTATCACTCGGATATCTATATCTGCAATCTTGTTCTTGATTCTAAGCAAGAGTCTATCCGCCGCCGCATAATCCTCTTCCCGTCCATTAAGGTTAGTCACTTGCTTATTCCATTTCTGTCATTATGAGTCAAGCAAGTAGCGAATGAATCGATAGCATTTATGCGTCCGATTCTGAATCGGGGACACCGGTGGTGAGTTCGAGTGGTGATGTTGAGGGGTCGATAGTACTTCCCCCGGATATTGTAGAGAGGAAGTCTTTCTCTACTGCACAGTAGAGAAAGAAGAATCGTATCCTTTCGGATGTTACCCTTAAGGAATATGATCACAATTTGAACTTTAGTACCGGCGAGGGTTTGGAAAAGGGCGATATCCTTTTTTCGTCTTTACATTTCCCTGCCTTTCGATTTCCCCTTAAACCTTTCTACCTTCAGGTTCTGTCGGTGTTAGATTTGGCTCCCCTTTAGGTTAACCCTTACTTTTTTCGTATTCTCTCTTGCCTTCTTGCTCTGAATAGGGTTAAAGGTTTGACCTTGAATCTTGCTGATCTTCTATTATGTTATACTCTTAATAGAATAAAAGGTGAGGAGGGTAGGTTTCATTTTCACTCTAGAACGGGTAGGGCTCTTTTTACTCATCTTAACACTTCTGATAAAGAGTGGAAATATAAAATTATTAAGGTCAGAGGGGCGTGGCACTCTTCTTCTGCTCGGGATTTTCCTATCCGAACGAGCTTTTATGCCCCATCTGTTCCTGCGTTTGACGATTCGGGCGAGTCTTCTTGCTTTGTTTGTGTCGTGAAGCATTTTTGTTATATTTATGACTTCTTAGGCCATAAAATTGACTTTTTTTTCTTCAAAATTTGTAGATATCCGATTCGAGTATTTGCGAGTGCACGTCTGGGGTGACGTTCCCTCTGCTCGGGTCTTGCTTTCTTCTTCCCTTCTTGAGGCAATTTCTAGGGATGTTCCTGTATTTTTTAGAACCTCGAGGAACCCATTGACCTCAAGGTCTCTAATACCGAAGCTGATTTTGTTTCGCCTGCCCCTCTTCTTCTTTTCCCAATCTGCAATGGAACTCTCCCCTCCCAAACCTCGTACGACCAGGAAAGAAAGGGAGGCGTCTACCAAGTTTCTATAGGAGAGGAATAATACTTTTGTTGAGGCTAGTAAGTTTTCCCCTTCTAAAAAATAGAAAGGGGTTCAATCCGGGCAGAGGCACAAGCGTCCTCCTATAAGGGATGATCCACCTTCCAAGCACTCCAAGCTTATGGCTGGGGCCTTTTGTGGCAAAGGTGCCTTAGTCCCAGGCTCTACTGACGTCGCTGAGGGTAATTTTGTGGGGTCTACGGAAAGGTGATTCCTTGAGATGCTAAAGGCTGATGGCTCCCCTATTACCATTGGTGATTATGGAGCTGAGGACGAGGAGACATTAATGGGTTTAGCCAGAGGGATGTGGCCACCCAGGGATGAGATTTTGCAACAACAGATGAGTGTTGATGATTTGCTTTCCCTTGCTCCCAAGTCTTTAAAGGAGGTAATCCCTTCTGATTCCCCTTTTTTTTTTTTTTTACTTATCTATTTTAGTTTCTTGACAACCTTCTGTTACTCTTCTATAAAGCTCTTTCTTAATGTTCACTTTCATGATGAAGCTGTCAGCTGACTCTCTTCAGGTGAACCAATCTGTTGCCCTTCAAAAGAGGGTAGACCTTTTAGAGGCTTCCCTTGCCGAAGCTAAGAAGGAGAAGGGCCAGTAGCTCAAGTCAATTGAGTACTTTGATAAGAGGGCTAAGGAACTTGAAAACAAGGCGGCTGAGCTTGGCCTTCAACTTGGGAAGGTAAATTCCTTGATCCAGACCTGCCAGGAAGGGGGGTTTGGAAATGTTCAACCATTTTTCCCAAGTTGCCAATCTCCGTTATGCCAAGGGTTTTAGGCTTGGCTTTGCTCAAGGGTAACTTCCTTTTGAGGAAAGAGACTATGGTGATGCTGATGAGAACGATGCCAAGCTGGGGCTCTTGATTACTGATGAGTATGTTGAACCCTCTGATGGTCCTAGGGAGATTGAGTTTGCTGCCCTGCTGAAGGGTAAGGAAGCTAATGAGGTTTTACCCCCTCTCCATTATCCTTCAAGTTCTCAAGGGCTGCTTTCTTCGGCACTTGATACACCTTCTTCTATTCCAGCTAGGGTGGAGCTGGTTGATGCCTTCACGCAAAAATTTAATGTGGAAGGTAGAGCTTCACCGATGAGGATCCTATGAATGAAAAATGATTTAATGTAACAGGTTTATTTATTATTATTTTTTTTTATGTGGAGGTGTAGGGTATGTCCTGCCTCCACTATAAACTATATATTTTTATTCTATAGAAGTTTGTTTGTTTGTTTGTTTGTTTGTTTTTTTTTTTTTTTTTTTTTTTTTTTTTACTTCTTTTGATTGCTCATGTTCGCTTGAGTCTTTATTGTGAATCTAATGAGGCGTTCAGCTCTTGGGGCCTTCGCCTATATTTATGATCGGCTCTTATAGCCGTTCGGCTCTTATGGCTGTTCGGCTTTTTGGATTTAATCAATTTTTTGATCAAATCTGATTAGACATTTGGCTCTTGGGGCCTTCGCCTATATTTGCGATCGGCTCTTATGGTTGTTCGGATTTTTTGGACTTAATCATTTTTTTGATCAAATCTGATTGGGCGTTCGGCTCTTGGGGCCTTTGCCTATATTTGCGATAGGCCCTTGTAGTCGTTCGACTTTCTTAGACTTGATCAATTTTTTGATCAAGTCTGTTAAAACGTTCAGCTCTTGTGGCCGTTTGGCTTTTTTGGACTTAATCAATCTTTTGATCAAATCTGATTGGGCGTTCGGCCCATGGGGCCTTCGCCTATAATTGCGATTGGCTCTTGCGGCCATTTAATTTTTTTGGACTTCATCAATTTTTTAATTAAATCATATTAGGCGTTCGGCTCTTGGGGCCTTCGCCTATATTTGCAATCGGCTCTTGTGGTCGTTCAACTTTTTTAAACTTGATTAATTTTTTGATCAAATCTGATTGGGCGTTCGGCTTTTAAGGCCTTTGCCTATTTTTGCAATCGGCTCTTGTGGCCGTTCGGCTTTTTTGGGCTTAATCAATTTTTTGATCAAATCTGATTGGACATTCGGCTCTTGGGGCCTTCACCTATATTTGCGATCGGCTCTTGTGGTCGTTCAGTTTTTTGGATTTGATCAACTTTCTGATCAAATCTGATTAGGCGTTCGGCTCTTAGGGCCTGTCTCTCCCTTAATAATGGGTCTATAATGGGCCTCCATTATTAAGGGAGTTAACCCGCTGACATTGAAGTACAATGGTTCTATTTTAACTACAGAGGAAATAATTCTTTTTTAGTCAATGTGGGACATTGATTGATTTGAAAGGGAATTCTTCGCTTGAAAGGATTTGGCTCCAAAAGAAAGTGAGGAAGGCTCTGAATTACGGATCCATGATGATGAGCTCCGTTTGTCCATGGATCACATAATTCAGGGTCCTCACCTGCTGATTTTTCACCAACTGTGTTGTACTTTAATAATAAAAGTAACTTTTCCTTTTCAGTCGATGTGGGACCATGGGTTTTACAACATCTCTTATTTGAAAAAAGAAAAGTGTGGGGAGTGTGTGAAGACCTCTGACAATGGGGCATTTCGATATCGTAAATGAGTTCCCATTATCAAGGGGTCCCACTTACTAATTTGTAAGCAAATCAAACAATCTTATGAGAATAACATAGAAGTTTATTTTCTAAACGATGTGGGACATCGTTATTT